ACTCACTATGTAGACCAGGCTGGCCTCAAACTCACAGAGATCTGCCTGCCTTTGCCTCCCAAGTGCTGGGATTAAAGGCGTGTACCACCACACCTGGCAAGACTCCATTTTTAAGATGTCAGTTAGAAAATAACTGAGTCAAAGATTGGACATGTGAACTTTTTAAAGTCATATCAATAGATTAGTTTTCTCTTGTCTTCTTAACAAAAATTAACGTGCTGACTTTTAGTCCCACCTGCTATGCACATTTAAGACCCTGAACATATTTATAACTCTATGCCCATTTTCTCCTTCTAATTACATAGCACATTTTCTTGCTTCTTTGATTTTTTTTCCATAATCTACTTTGTGCTCTGTGTTGTGGTGTTGCGTGTTTTAGGACAGTGGTGATTTTTGGCTCTTGTGTTTGAGACAGGATCGCACTGTGTATCCCACACTGGTCAGGAACCCCTGATCTCTTGGCCTCTGAGTTCTGAGTGCGAGAACTACATGTGTGCACCATCGTGCTCAGATGTGCTGCTAGGTTGTCGAGAGTCTGGAGAGTCTGTATTTGTGTTAATCTTCCTTCATACAGTATTGTTGTCCTAGAAAGCAATGATTTACTGACAGATCAGCTTGTTACTTGGTTTTAGACTTGTCAAGGTGGGCCACAAGCAAGTGTAAAGTAGCATGCTAAAATGTAGCCTTTTCTGAAATCTCAATGTCCAGCCTTAAACGAGTTCCAATGTCTTCTAACACTGAATAACCTCAGACCCTCCATTTAGAAATAGCCTCTAGGCGGAGCAGAAGAATAAGGGAATTCCTTCACGTCTCTGCTCTTCAAATTACAACTACGCCTTGTCAAAGTCGTGGTTTCTTGTACTTTGTCCTGTTTCATCACTCTAATGTGGGAGGATAAGACTGGCCCATCAGACTGCATATTACAAATATCATGAAACTGTATTGAGGGAATAGTGGAGAAAATAGCAGCTGGAAAGGAAGTTTATGAACATAAATGAACCTTAATTTCATTATTTTTTGTTTTATAAAAGATACTACGAGGCCAAAACGTGACTACGAAGTGGACGGCAGAGACTATCACTTTGTCATTTCCAGAGAACAAATGGAAAAAGATATCCAAGAGCACAAATTTATAGAAGCCGGCCAGTACAATGACAATTTATATGGAACCAGTGTGCAGTCTGTGAGATTTGTAGCAGAAAGGGTACGTTCACCTTTCCTCTTATAACTTCCCTGAAGGTTTCTTGGTAGCAAACTATTTTTTTTTTTCTTTTGGTCATTGCTCTTTCCTGATTGCAGATTAAATAAGATTAAATATTCTTTTTCAGATATCCATGCAGAGAATCACCTTATAGCAATGTTATTCATCTTTATTATAATTTAAATAAAGTACTCTGACTTTTGGAAGAGAAGAGGCTTCATAAACCCAAAGACAATTAATAGCCTATATTTATAGGGACTCGGGTTGTCCTTTGCTCACTATCTGAGACCCTATTTAATAAAACTGAATTTATTAAGGAAGATTTGCTACTCTTGATTACCTAGATAAGTTGTTCTCTCTCGCTCTCTCTCTCTCTCTCTCGCTCTCACTCTCTCTCTGAAAACAATATTCTCATGGTAGATTTCATGAAGAGGACTGTCTAGCCTGTTGCTGACAAAAGTTCTGACTTACAAGAGACTTTGGGGCTGCAGTTCCCTTCTTCCTGACAATATCAGAAGCAGAGAAGAGAGGAGACTATGTAGGGGAGAAGAGGATACGATACCACTTTAGTGTATAGTTAGAGCCTATCTCCTCTGAAGACACAGGAACAATTCATAGGAGGAAAGTAATTGTCATGTTATATTATAGCAAGTCAGGATATGATTCAATGTGACTCTCCCCACCCCTTTGATGTCATGATTTTTAAAAATTGAACAGAAAGTTGGAAATCAGAAAGAAAGAGAACCATGTAAGATCATAGACCTAGGACAAAACGTCTTGGCAACTGCATCTCTGAAGCCAGAGAAACAATGGGTTCCTCTTGGCAGGGGTAAGAATGAAAGAACTTCCCAACAAACTCGGGCAGTGTGGATGCTGACAATTCTACCTGCAGGAAAATTCCACTTCAACAGCCTGAAATCCACACAGTAGCCTTCTTTTGGAAAAGGTTTTCACATCATCTCCCAGCAAACACCCCACATGCCAGACACAGGAGAAACTGCCTAGAGAAGAGAGCTACTGTCTGAGTTTGGACTCCAATGGAGACTGTATTCACCTCACTTGAATCTTCACACTTGGGGATAGATCCCCTGTGACCTGAGCTCAATCCAGCAGAGTAACTGTGACCTTAAGCCTATTGGGCAACCTTCACTGTAAGGAATGGATATTAAGACAAGGAGGGGAAAGAGAGGGCTGACCTTACCAGGAGATGTGGTATCCACCCTCTGACAGTAAGCTTCTGGCCATGTGTGGACTCATACTAGTGCCAAAACTAAAGGCAGACACCGAGTGGTATAGCTGTCACCTTGCCTATGGGTACACAAGGTGTACTAAAGTTGGCACCAAGACCAACTTTCTCCAGCTACTTCCACTTCCCACTCCTGCTCATTCCTGGGCAGGCCTGGTTGTCACCCAAAGGTGTTCCTCTCCCAACATGAGCTTTGGCCATCTCTGGCTCAGGTTCTGCTCCTGGGCAGGATTCTGCTCCATCACTCAAGCAAAAAGGAGAAGCACCATTATTCTTACTACCACTCCAGCATGTGCATGGGTCCACTGCTACACCCACCACTGCACCTCATCAATGCTAGCAGTGAACACCACAGAGATGTTATGGTTCCACCATCACCTCTCCCATGTATCAGCTGAGATCATACCCCTGGCTGGTGAGAGGGAAGATGCTTTAGAACCCTAATCACTACAGGGACACCAGTGCCACAGGTCTTTGATAATCGACAGTACCTGAGGAAATACCGATTGTTTACTAGATACACAGCACCCCACACCCACAACATGTGCCCCCAACTACTCAAGCATCCTAATTCTGGCATGGCCTGTTGAAATAGCAGGTGTCTCTGATTCTGTCATATGTTCAAATTCATTAAGTACAGGAAAATAACCTGTAGGGAGACACTATCATGGCCAGAGGGTAGCAAAACCAACATTATACAACAAACTAAGATTTTAAAAGAGAGCTGCAACTAAAAAGGCCATCTTGAAGGGTGGTAGATCTCTCTAACCTACCAGATATGCAAGCCTCAATCGAGAGTAAAGGAAATCTAAAAATAACAAGGTAATACCATGCCTTCAAAAGAAAACATAACTCTTTAGCCCAAGGAAGAGCCCAAAGGAATCAAAATGAATGAAATTCCTGGAGAAGAATTTAAAGAATGACTATAAAATTCTCAATGGGAGTCAAGGGAATACAGTTAAACAGCTCTCAAATTAGTATGCAGGGTTTGAGAAATTCAGCAAAGCGATATGAGTTTGGGTTCCTTAAAGAATCAAGTGGAAATAATTGGAAATTACAAAGTCAAAGAAAATGAAAATGCAGTGGATAAGCTCAACAATACATTAAGACTATATGAACTTGAAGACAGTTTTGTCTATCTTAATAAAACAAAGAAGAGGAGGGGGAGGAAGAGAGGAGGAGCAGAGAATATTGAAGATCTACAGGGCCATTAAATGAACAAATGTCTGAATTTTAAAAGCACTGAAGATGAAGAGAAAAAAGTTCAGAGCAGAAAAATCTTAATGAAATAACAGAAGAAAACTACCCAGATCTTAACAAAGATATATACATACATACATAAACAGACAGCTTATAAGACCCCAAATAAGTATGAAAAAAATATACATAAAATATTAAAAGCACAAAACAAAATTTAATCTGCTAGGAAAAAAAATGTGAAGGGAGTAACCGTTAGACGTCTGTAGATTTTTCAACAAAAACCCTGCAGTCTAAGAGGGGATAAAATGAGGTGTCCCAAGTTCTGAAAGAAAATAACCGCTCAGCAGGATTAGCTTTAGAAATGAAGGAGAAATAGACACCTGGTAAGACCAGCTAAAACCAAGGGAATTCATGACCATCAGATAAGGGAATCTTATATCCACAAGTAGTAGATAACTACTTCCACCATGGAAGTCCCGAGAGTATAAATCAACTAGAAAAGCATATATATAAAGTAGAAAACATTAAAAAAGATCAATAAAATGAACCACAAAACTGCAAAGATTAACAAGAGATAGTCAAATCAACTAAAAGAGAAGTCATCGAAATGACTGAAGTAAACCTTACTAATCAATAACCTTGAGTGTAAATGGAGTAAATGTTCTTATTAAAATATTCAAACTAACTAAATGGATTTTTAAAAATCTAACAACAACATGCTGTTAACAAGAAACCCATTTCACCATTAAAAACACAGACTACCCAGGCGTGGTGGCGCATACCCATAGTCCCAGCACTTGGGAGGCAGAGGCAGGCAGATCTCTGTGAGTTCAAGGCCAGCCTGGTCTACATAGTGAGTTCCAGGACAGCTGGGGCTAAAGGGAGACCCTGTCTCAAAAAGACCAAAAAAAAAAAAAAAAACTACATAGAACCCCATTAATATGTAATTGTTGTTCATTGACATCAGTGTTCAGAAGTTTCATATCTGAGCGCATACTAAGATGACTGAAGTTTCCTCTCTCTCAATGTTAGGGTCTATCAAGCTATAAGAATGCTGTTTTTAGTCAGTATCCTGGTAAGAGGTATCCATCTTCCTCTTTGAACTTGCAAATACAACCTCTTAACTTAAAACACTCTGGCCAGTACATAATGAAACAGCATTTCTTTCTACCTTTCATAATCATTGTACTTCGCAGATAGCAAACTTGGAATGTATTACTTAAGTGATAAAGGTATGAACCACCTTAGTGTGTATCATATGCATTCAGATGTTCTCTGGACTCTTCATTTTGTATGAATATTGTAAGTCTTTCCCCAAAAATATTGATTTAGGACTGCTATGATCTGTATAAAATGTCTTTTGTCTTCTTGTGTAAAGTTCTTCTAGCCTCAGAGTAATAAGGTTTTCTCTCCAGGAGGTAGAATATGATATGGCAAATGAGTCTGCTTTTCCAGAAATATGTTATGGAGCAGTTCCTGGCACTGAGCACTCACCACTCTGGAAGCCAAGTTAAATGAAATGTGCTATAATGGAATAGGGTTTCTATCTGTTAACAAACAAATTTACATACTCACTGCAAGACTCGGCATCTAACCATATAAAGTTGAAGATAACTCTTTCCTGTCTGCCTTCTACCAGGCTGCACATATCAAGGCAAAGTACACATAAGTACTGATCAAATGTATGGAATCATTATAAACTCAACATTCTTCCAGGCTTAATACTGATTCAGGATAAATGATGAAATGTCTACTCCACCAATAACTCTGTCCAGGCTCAAAAGCTGGGCTTGGGTCTTCCTAGTAGTGAATTTGGGGCTCTTAGTCAATATTCCTAAGCCTTAGTCTTCTCTTCTGTAAAATTCAGTTAGTTACACCTACCACACAGACTGAATTATTTGTTGCAGTGATATTTTTCAGTCTCTAGAAATCCAGCTTTTCAGGGCTAGAGAGATGACTAAGACGTCAAGAGCACTGGTTGTTCTTGCAGAGGACCCGGGTTTGGTTCCCAACACCCACTTGGCAAGTAACAACCATCTTAACTCCTGTTCCAGGAAATCTGATGCCCTCTTCTGGCTTCTGTGAGCATTGCACACATGGGTGCACTTACATACATGCAGGCAAAACACTCATACACATAAGTCAAAAGAAATTTTTTTTAAGAAATCCAGTATTTCATACTTTTCTGTGAGGCATGCATTATCTTATTTCACTAGATGGTGACCATTTATTTCAGACTTAACTTGGCATTTTCTTTATCTTTCTACCAGGGCAAACACTGTATACTTGATGTATCAGGAAATGCTATCAAGCGGTTACAAGTCGCCCAGCTCTATCCCATCGCCATCTTCATAAAGCCCAAGTCTCTGGAACCTCTGATGTGAGTAGAGGACTGAAGTCTTCTTCCAGCTCCCTGTTCTGAATTACACTCTTTATCACAGAGGCTTACAGAAAGGAAATGCCATTGTTGATTTTTAAGCATTTCTCTTTTTTAAAATATATATTCATTAAACTTTTTGAGTCAGTAATTCTTTAAAATGTTCTTGCTAATATTTCTTGAGTTTTTTACTTTATTATTTTGTAAGTTGTTTTAGCCTTTACATTTACTGTTGCTTTAAGGTTTCGGGGGGGATTCTGTTTTAATTTTTTTTGTTTTTTGTGAATGATGGGAGACAGTCCTCTTTGAATTGTCTCTTCTGAGAATCGTTTCATGGGTAAATCTTTAAGTGTGGGAGGTTTCTTTATAGAGGGAGCAAAGAACATTTTAGACTTTCCATTGACATTTTACTTTATCCTACAATAGAATTCTGACTCTACGTGTTAATGTATATAGGCCACTGTTCTTAACAGAGCTTTCCTAGTAATAATACAACTATAAGACATCCAAACATCCATCTCCACATCTGTGCATATTTATAAGCAAGGAGAAAATTTATGATTCTGATTTTTTTCCAAAAAGACTTGTAAAGTATCTTCCTTCAAAAATCAGTAAACAAACTGGGCAGATATTCATGATCTGGCTATGACATCTGTATAGGCAATTCCTATATAAAGTGAAGCTAGTGTCAGTAATGGTAGCAGAGCAAAGAGGGCACAAGCAGAGGCATGCCAACTGACTAGGTCAAGCTGGGTCTTTGCTTTGCCAGTGGTTGGTTATATAACCTTAGCACAAATTGCTTGAGCTCCCTAAGATTTAGATCCTTACCTATAAAATAGACATTGTAGAGCTAGGGTTAAATAACAAGGTCATGGATATTCATATATTCCTTGTCATACAGTAAGTACTTAATAAATAGTACATTACAAAAGATATGAGGTTACTTTTTATGGAGCATAAATTCAATCTTATCATTATAAAACACATAAACAGTTTCTAAGATAATGTAAGAGATAATGCCAGTGCATCTGTTACAAGAGCCTTGCTCAAATACCACCTCCAGTTGGGCGTCCAGAGAGTGTCAGACTGAACTACAGAAAACACACTGGAAAACAATGCTTATGGAAATAATTTATTCCCAGAGATGAAAGCTGTTGTGTTCTGGAGATATCAGCTACCTGTTTTGGTCTCCTTTGAGGACAAAACAGTAAAGAAAATCATAGTAGCTAGAATGGCAACTGAGAAAATTAACTTCAGTAGTTTTTCTCTGGGGAAATCACCAGGGTTATATCTTAAAAGTAGAACTAGTAATAATCAGATATATAGAGATTAGAAATGCATGTGCAAACATCTTAATGTCAATTGCATTAAAAATGAATTTTTCTCTATGAACCTGTGTATTTTATTAATGAAATGGAGGTCTTTTTTAAAGGTTAAAACTTCATTTAATTTTATGTCTTATAGGGTTTATACTGAGTACAAACTCTCAAGGTTCTCGTAATAATTCAACTGTAAACCTAAAATTTTACAGCCAATTTTGAAAGAGATGCATCTTAACTCAGGAAATTGTTATTGAATATATCAATGCTGTTGTAATGAAATGCTTCTTCTAAGTATATGGTTAATAAATAAATAATTTCTTTAAAAAGTAGAATGTAGCCTCATAAGTAAAAGGTAGACAAGGGTTTTTACCAAGATAAGGAAATAGGAGGAGGTCACTGTGAAGAACTTTAACCAAAGTTGCCACATAGAAAGATGTATACTTCTAATAAAAGAAGGTTTCCTGTTATTACAACCCCTAATAACATGTGCTAAATTTCTCCTTGTGTAGGATACTGTGTTGGGTATTATATAGAGTTAAGTTATGACAAACATCATTATGTATAACCTGTAAAAAGCCACATAAATATATGTAGTGCTCACATTAAGAAAAGTGACACTTCCCTCTTGGAAACAGCATCTTAAAAGCCTATTTCAGAAATAGAAATTAGTCCACATGATAGACACACAATGGGACCCATGGCTTCTTAAGGAAATATAGCCTGCAGGAGCAAGAGCAGTGGCACATTTGGTCCAGCTTGACATTGAGAGACAGCCCATCGGGTGTTCATGGAAGATCTACTTGCTTCCATAACTACTGAATGGCTTGTTAGTTCTGCCCTAGGGCCTTGTCACAGCCCCTTATCACCAAGAAGAATTAAACATCTGGAAGGCTGGATGTCCACAATGAGGACAGTGAATCTGGCATAATTTGCTGCAGCCATTTTCATGGATCTCCACGACAGTGGTGATAGCACTCAGCCTTGTGCGATCTCATTACTAAAGGCTGGCTGTTTCCAGTTCACCCTTTCCTGAGGCTTTTACTTCAAGAGCAATGCTGGTATGAATTGCCCATTCCCCAGGAAGGAGCAATGCTCAGTCAGATGGAAGAAAAGCATGTCAGCTGTCACAATGAGGCAGGGACACATCATCATACACATTACTTCTCGAGTGCATCATCCACAGGGCTGATTAGCACATATACAGACAACTCTTCAGAGGAGCATAAATTCAAGGGCATGGATGAAAGAGATGTTTTTATCCAGTGCTGCCTCCAGACTCCTGTATATGCCCCATAGCAGTGAGACGCTTTGCTGTGTCCCTGCACCCTCCCATCTCCAGTGGCCTTTTACCACCTTACACCCATGATGCTTTGTTTCCATCTACTTGTATCTATGCCATAATTGTTTCTCTGCCTCCTTCGCCACTTATTCATTCACTTACTCACTCAATGAGTGTTCAATCAAGCTTCATGGCATAGGCTAATAAGCAAGCCATAAGCTTGTCCCTCAAAGAACTTGACAATTTGACAATTAGGCATGGAAGCAATAACAAATTCATACATTGAAGGACCATAATCCAAACTAAGTCACTGCTAAAAAGTACAAGAGAATTCATGGGGGGTGGGCGGGCAGGGAAGAAAAGCAACAAAGCAGGCTACCACGGATGGAGCAGGTCAAAGATCACGAAGACCGCCATCTTTCTCTGGAGTAGTCTTTGATTTAGCCCAATAGCTTTACACCTAAATATGGTACCCACTCAAAGCTTGTGCAGGTAGGACTGAGGAACAAGATGAGATTTCTTAAAGCAACGGAAGTTCAGACAGTTCTGCTTTGTACTTTAGCTCTCAGTTATATCCTTACCCACACTAATGTCCAACATCTTTCTGTCTCTTTTTTCAAATAACCTTTTTACAGATGATACCAAAGTTTTTTTTATAATAGGAAATCTATGGGGGGGGGTAAGTTCTTACTCCAGATTGCTCCATATACACCCTCATCGTTATGTTTTATATTTATGTATCAAAATACCATAACCTAGCAAAATGTACAGTTACTATGTGCCTTAGGGAAGGTCCCACACTATTTCATGTTTCCATGACTTGCACTAAGGAAGGAATTGATTAAGCCTAGGTGTTCCACACCTGAATCTCTGGTCCCTGAGTAGCATGCAAGGCTATGACACTTTTAGAAATGCACCTGTTACACATCCTAACAGGCCAATCAAAATGTCTGTTCATTTGGCTGGACTTCTGTTTTTAATGTCTAGAGGATGTGGGAAGATACTACTGGTTATGAATCAGTAAATGCAGTTTTAGAGAGAATTAGAGAAATTTCCATTTCCTTCCTACCTTATTTTGTCTTTGAGACTAGGTGACATTTAAATAATCTTATGATGAAATAGCATGCATTTATAGTTCATAGTAAACCAGACAGCATAATATTTTATAGTCCATTCTCCTTTCTGAATCAAAATCAAGTTGGCATCAGTGTTTCTATAAAAAAAATATGTTTTGGTTGGCATGTGGTAACTGTACATTTTGCTAGGATATGGTATTTTGATACTTAAATATAAAACATAATGATTAGATCAAGCTCCTCCCATGTTCAGCGCTTTCAATCATTCTTGAGATAATTCAAAATCTTCTGATTGGCCAGTTTGAAATATTCAATTAGTTGCTGTAACAACAGTTAGCCCTACTGTGCTATAAAACATTATCAGCTAATCCTTCTATCGACTCTACCCTGTACCCACTAACCATGTTAGAGATTCTTTTATATCACGCTCCTCTGTCCTAACTCACTATTTGACTAGATTGCTTGGCTGTCCTGGTTGAAAACACTGTAGTCCAAGCACTTTCAGGTTATTCCATTCTGTGTCCACTGTGGTTCAAGGCTCTAGTCACTATAGGCATGCCTCCATATTTCCAGAAGTTGAGCACTTAGAGCTGCAGAATACAGTTTTGGCCTGAGAGATCTACCTACCTAAGGGATCTGCTCTATTTTCCATAATTTTCTGGAAGCTCTGGATGTTTCTCTACTCCGCCTATTTCCAGATTCATACTGAAGATGAACAACAGTCCTTAAGAGGGATGAAGAAGGCAAACCTTTTGTAAGAGCAGTGGATGAGCATGAACAAGTCTAGTTCTCTTGGGTGTGATGATGCCCAACAAGCCCAGATACAGTGTCCCTTCCTTCTGACTCTCTTCTTTCCTCTGACTACTTCTGGAAGATTCTCTTCGATTCTTTGTTCTACATTTATTTTAGAGATACAGAGATCTGTTAGAACAAAGCCAAATGAAAAAGTTTAGGTATAGAAATTACTTTCAATAAGGAAATATTTGAAGTAGGACAGTCTGTTCTGATGAGGCTGAACCCTCGGGAGGCACACAGCACTTCATTTAAATACTCTAGGGTCTGCTGGTGGAGAAGGTTTGTCACAGTCTAGGGACTGCAGGGGACAGAACAGAGGCCAGGGACTACAAATCATAAAACAGATTCTGCTTCAGTCCATTGTGGTGCTAAGAGCCTGTCCTCTGAGAGCGTGCACTCCCTGGTAAGGTGTGCTGACAGCTGAAATTACTCCAACAATGAGTCTTAAATGAAGCCTCAGAAACTGCTGCTAAGATCAAGCTGTGCATCCTACAGGTTCTTTTCTGCAGTACATTTTAAGTTTTCAGAGTGTGGTTTAGTCTCTGTGTGTTCTAATTCCAAACCTTCATTTTCTCAGGGAGATGAATAAGCGTCTAACAGAAGAACAAGCCAAGAAAACCTATGACCGAGCAATTAAGCTAGAACAAGAATTTGGAGAATATTTTACAGGTAATTTCCTCTTTCCCTGGTACTGTAAGAAAAGAGATAAATCACCCGACATTTGGCTTAGAATGGGCTCCATGCCTGAGGGAGTTAGGCTAAAATTGTTGAGAATCCCTAGTACTTTTTCGTGAATAGGAATGTGCTGTCTGCCTCACCCATTTGATTCAGAACTCTGAGCTGTTCTGAGTTAGCTGTAATCAGTATATCCACATTCTCTACTGACCCTATCTAGAACTATGAGTGCCAGATGCCCCTAAACTGTCTCCTGCTATTAAGGAGGCCTTAGGTATGACACCTTTTTAAACTGTCTCCCTGAATCAGAAAACTTGAAAAGGAACCTTTTAAGGCTCAAAATGGACAGTATCCATGGCAGTTACTGCTCTCAGTCTCTGCCTTGATGACCTCTAGGCCTGTCTCATCAGCATTGTATGAAAAGGTTTTCACAGTGTTTCAGTTAACACTCTCTACAATCTAAATGCAAAAAACTTTTTAAAAAAATATTTCTTTGGAGGCTGGAGAGATGGCTCAGCAGTTAGGAACACTGGCTGCTCTTATAGACCCAGGTTCGAATCCCAGCACCCACATGGCAGCTAACAACTGTCTACTAACTCCAGTACCAGGGGATCCAATGCCCTCTTCTGACTTCTGTGGGTATTGCATGACACGGATGCACTCACATGCATTGTAGGCAATAACTCATGCACATAAAATAAAAAAAATACTTCTTTGGGAACATGAAATTTAGGGAAGACAGTAAGAATTTCCTCTGGCTATTCTGAGTTCTTTATTTTTCTATGCTTTCATGAAGCACAGATTAAACCCAGAGAGAAATAAGGCTTCATGCAAATTATCTTATATGGATTCTCAATGATTTATAAACAAGATATTGAATCAGAGATGTAGCTCAGTGCTATAGCATTTGCCTAGCTTGCACAGGGCTCCAAGTTTGGTCCCCAACACATCAAAATAAATAAATAAATAAATAAATAAATAAATAAATAAAAATAAATAAATAATCAACTTTCCTCTTGACTTACTGATATGCAAATAAATGAGGGCTTTTTGTTTTGTTTGTAGCTTTGTTTTTAATCTTATTCAGAAGCACCAAAAGCACCAATGGTGTGGCCGTTTCCAAATATTTTTAGTAGGATACTAAGTAAAGCATCTCTCAGTAATATGAGTGATGCTTCAATTCTAAAAGAGCATCTAAGTGGGAAAATTAAGTCAAAACAATGAATATTTGACCTGCAGTTTATAATCATGGATAGAATCTAAAGAATAAAGATGTAAACCATGTTTATTCACATGGATAGTATAGTACTGAATGAGGTTTTGGAGACCTATAAATCTTATTCAACATATCTTATTCAAAGGAAACAATAAAATGTGTTTAAATCTATACTCAGAACCCAGTGCTTTAGTAATTTACAGTTTAGATTTAATTTACAGCATAAATTTACAGTTTATACTTATGTTTCTTATAAGTTGTAGCTATCGGGTATTTGCAATATAAATAGTTCTATATGGTAAAAATCTTAAATAACTTAGAGAATAAATGGGGTTTCCTAGTAAAGGCTTTTGGAGTGAAGAGGTTAACTAAACTTTCCTTCAAAGCTCTTATTATCTGCCATCCCCCCAATCTAAAATATCTGAATTTCTGTCTCTGCCAAAGTAAAGTATAGAGATACTAAGCTCAAGCAGAGTGTTCTCTGACTGAAAACTGATGGATGCTTTGCTCCAGCTCCTGGCTCAGAGAAGGCAACCATGAAATAAACCAGTGATTCATTGTCAGAACAATCAAAAGACATATAGAAAGTGCAAAGATTGTGACATGTTTATTATTGATCTAGGGTACGTATTGAATGCCTTCTTTAAAAATCATTGCTGTGAACTCATGTAAATGGTCTGCTTTTTCTTACTAATGAGAGGGGATATTAAGCTTACTGATGAATTCTCACTGATTTGAGCCTCTGTTGGGTGAGTGATTCCTGTTCTTCACCCCCACAGGAAATGCCTCCTAACTCTGGGTATTTTTTGCTTTTTCTACAGCTATTGTCCAAGGAGACACCTTAGAAGATATATATAACCAATGCAAGCTTGTTATTGAAGAGCAATCTGGGCCTTTCATCTGGATTCCCTCAAAGGAAAAGTTATAAATTAGCTACTAAGCCTCTGACAATGACAGAAGAGCATCTAGAAGAACAAAATATATATAATATACTACTTGGAGGCTTTTATGTTTTTGTTGCATTTATGTTTTTGCAGTCAATGTGAATCCTTATGAATGTACAACACAAACTGTGTGAAGCCATGAAGGAAACAGAGGGGCCAAAGGGTGGGACGGAAAAGACATTGCAGTACGCAGGAAGGTTTTGGTTTTCTCAAAGTACCAGGTGTAGGGATGAACCTCTGATGGGCTTTCTGCCCTAGAGATGGGCAGCCTCCTCACCCCAGCAGATGTCCAGAGCTGATTCAGCTGCTGAGCTCTGTGTTTTTGGCTTTAAAGAAAAGTTGCCAGCACTCAAACCTCACCAACCTTCCCCTTCCCCACATCTGTAATTGGTACACTTTGAATTTTATAACTATGCACATCCTTTGATTTCTTAACAAGCAAAGGAAATGAAGGAAAAAAGAAAGGAGTCCCTTTGGAGAAGACATACTATCAGGGGCGGATAATTGCATAGTTTCCTTGACTGGCATCAAAGACAAACATGTCATAAAATTCACAAGTGTATGGAGAACTAACCGTACTGAGAGGAGGGGATTCCACCTGGATGAGCTTTCTGAGTGTTGTCTATTTTGCCATTTATAAACTGAAAGAAGGCACTAAAGATGAGAATAATTTATACAATAAAATATATTAAATGTATAGAAATGAATTTCTATAGGTTAAAAAAGTTTTGTGAAATATTTTGTAAAGTCTAAAACTCATTGAAAGACTAAGTGTATGCACTCTCGGCAGATGAGCAAACCCGAGAGCTGGAGGTTGTGGTCTCCCTTTTGCTGCCAATGATCCATTCAGAGTATCCAAGTTCCTTCCAAGTCTGATGAAGACTTCTCCCTCACTCACCTCCCATCATGTCCCATGAACACAAGCGATGCACACTTACGGAGCACATCCCTTTAATGAGCTGCCCTCATGGGTATTTTTAGAAGAGATTTGGTTAATACACGTTCTGAGCTGATGGCTTTTCAGAGACAAACTCGAGCAAATGAGCTGAAGGGAACTTTTGCTTTTCTCTAGTTAAATAACCTGAACCCATTAACGCAGATAGCTGAATAACTTTATTCCTAGTTACTTGCATACAGTTCTTAAAGGACCACTTAGTATTCTGGCAAACCAAGAGTCATTAGGATTATCCTTTTTTGGTTTCACAGAGCAATTGTGTGTTTTGTAACAGCCTGAGTTGGTATTCTATGGGGAGATCTGTCCTAAGATGCACTATTTTCTCTGAGGAAGAGAGAAAAGAGAAGTTATCTAGTTGGGAGGGGTGAGGGGTGCACTTTTTGTCTCAGTATATAGGGCAAAGAGAAACACAAGGATCGACAATTTATGACTTTGAGCTCAACCAATTGAATTGCCTTCTTTGGCGCTGCACCTGGACCAAGTTTATTTTTTTAACAATTATAATAATGATGATTTAAAAAAAGAAACCTCCCGAAGCCTATAAGCTGAAACAGAAGAGTTAGCTTCCCACTTTAGAGCTGATGGTGACGCCAGCACTGGTTCTAACCATGGTGTTCAGAGAGAGACTTTTCAGTGATATTAATAACCACTCAACTCTGGGTTCTGTGCATGCCCAGATTAAGCCCCATCGCCTTATTTCTGGGGTACATCAAGACCTGGCAGGGATTCTGCCACACTGTGCAGCCAACCAGCATGTAGGCTGGAGTGGGAGAGCAAAAGACAGAGCCATCAAAGTGATGGGGCTTCTTCATAGTTAGAACATCAGAGCTCAAAAATTAGAGTCTCTTTCCAAAAGCAAGGGTCTTTCATCTTTTCCTAAATACTGTTGTCTGCCTGGCTGCAGTCACCAAAACGAACATAAACATGCAAATTTATGCATCTACCTACAGTCTTGAGGCTACCTTCGCCAATGGAAGGGCTAGCAATGATGCATTTTTCCCTCAATGAAAGTTCAATTTTCCACAGACAGCGTTAGAGGGCTCAAAATGTTAAAGATATGTCCATGTCTGCAACTCACCAGTTTCAGGACAAGGCCAACTTCCATCCTATTGCTCAGAAGTCTTCTGCCACTAGAACGCCATTCCTGATCCCAGCTCTCTTTTTAGGCCACCATGATAACTTCTTTGGTTTCTCCACTGAGCATGCAACCATTTATTTAGAGGACTGTCATTAGTGAGTAGATGTTTTCTCCAGTCCTGTGATGTGCTTTCCATTTAATAGTATTGCTGTGACTGAGTACAATCAAACTGAACCACCAACCCTTGGTTTTGTAGTAATATATTTATTTTCCCAGTGTAGATGCTTCCGGATTAGAAGTGGCATTTGCACTGATTTTTATGTAGATTTATATAAATATATATACATATATATATTTGCTTGAAGAATCACCAAGCACATTGGTGAGAGGGTCTTTTCCTATAGAATTTACACCTCCATTTTGTTGTGTCGTCTTGCGCTTCCCAATGTTGAGGTCTCTACGGCTCCAAAGAACTGGTGTATTTTGCAGTAAATCCAACGTTACTGAAACGGCATGAAAGTCACCCGGATCACATCTGGTGCAAATGCACCTGGAGCCTTGGGCCAGACTGGTGCTAACACTGCAAACTTTGTCCGGAGCTCTCTCCAATCTGAAGGCTTTCTGGGGTCGCAGTGTCACCTTCACATGCTGGGCCCTTTCGGAAAAGTGCCAGACCGTGTCACTGGTGCTATTTTTCATGCTCTGGTACAATGTGTAGCACCATGGGGGTCTCAGCTTTACCAAACTCAAAATCCCATCTGTCAGCCAATTGCTGGGGCATTTGTTTTTTTTTTTTTTGCTCTCCCACGGGACTTGGTGGCCTATTATTTGAAGGCCTTTTCTCCCAGGCCCAAATTTTGGGGTTGGCTCTATCTGCTTAGCAAGCCCATCTAGATAAAGCTGCACTGGGGTGCCTCTGTGAGCTGTCTTAGATCCTATGGCCAGCCCTTCAGGACTGAGCTAGGGCAATGCTCTCCATGCCTCTGGCTCTCACCCATTTTTCCCCTCCTCTTTTCCTACCATTCTCTCGGTCGTCTTGTGTCTCTGCTTTTATCAAATTCCTGAGTTGTTGACCTGCAACTTTATTGCTTTGTCCGTCTCTCCTTTTATCTCAGTCTCACGTTGCCCTTTTTCTTCCTTCCTCCCATCCTGTCCTCTGCTCTCTTCACCTCTCTGGTCATCCCCACACCACTCCCTAGTTTTTGTGTCCTATAAAGGGCTCATGGCTGAATCAGACAGCAAGTCCACACAATGGACTAATGACACAAATATTTGGGGTCACCATTTTACCCACTCAGCCAAGAAAGCAAAGCTGAGTGTGAGGCCCTGACCTGTAGCCTGACTGCACCGCTGCCTCGGCAGTGACGATGCAAGTGCTGTGGGCCCCGCGGCACCTGGAAGCCGCTGCCTGGACCTGTCCCTCCAGGAGCTCGCTGCCAGCACCACCCAGGCTGAGGACACTTCTTTCTACAGAGGCAGAGTCTGGCCCCAACAACTATCCTAACAAACCTCTTCCTTTTCATTGAAGCCATGACACTGCCCTGGTTTGGAGAGAGGTGTTTTTTTCTTTCCCCCGCCTACTTTTTCCTATTTTCATGTGAAGCCCCCTCTGCTTTTCAGCTGGTGATTGCTCTGGTGAGATTGAATGGACTCGCTAGTGAAATGACATCTTTTTTTTTTTTTTCCTGCCTTGGTCCTACCTAAAATTCCTACAAAAACATTTACTCCAAGGACTGAGGCCAGTTCCTAAATTTATCATACTAATATGTCACTCCTGGGAAGGGGGAGACATCAGTTCCCTTAAAGCATGTGGAGTACTTCCTGTGATAACCGATTTTCCAGGAAACTCCCTAGAGAATTCTGTGGACATGGATTAATTACTTAAGCGTAAGGTATGTATGGTATGCACACCATGTATACACATACTACACTAGCTATGAATTAGTGTGGTTGGAAACACATACATACTCAGTCTGTAAATATCCTTCCTCACTGAAACCTGTGCTTCAGAAATCATTTTTTGTACAGCTGTGCAGTTTCTTGTAGCAGCTGAAGACAAGCTAAGACAGGCAGAGAATGTGGACAAAGATCAGCTGAAAGAGTACAGTATCTCCCTAGCAGCTTGTGCAGGCAGACAACCAAGTGGCAAGGTTGACTCCCAATGGGATGGCAAAGTTTTCTCCTCAAATTTGTGTTTCCTAAGTGTATCTTAACTCCTGAGTGCACCAGGTTGTACCCATTAGATCCTTTTACTATGACAATTCTGTGCTTCTCTCTGACAGGATGTTTCTCCACTGAGCTGTAATGCGGAATGGGAGGGGAGGGGAATTACTCCTTGCCTGACTGGAGTTTACAGAGACACTGCACAGCTTACACTCCTGTTAAGTGTAAATATTCAACACTTCCATTCCATTTGTGTAAAAAATAAAGCACACACGATTATAAAATCAAGATGTATATTTCATACTCCGTGTGTCCGTGAATATTTATTGCGTTTCCAGATGTCACTGGTGGCCCAGTTGTAAAAATGCTTGATAGAGTGTTTATAAACACGACAAGACTTTACTATAATATATAAATATTAAAACATTTTATACTTTATAGCAAATTATATTCTCCCAAAGCATAATTTGTGTATTTCATAAAGAAGACACTCATTTCTATTTTTATCAAGTGTGTTTGATTTCAGAGCAAGCTAAATGCAGTTAGAATGCATTTGCTCTGAGAAATATTGGCACCACTGAGACGCACTGACAGTGGTGCTTTTGCATGTTTTTACACCTTTGGTTATTGTCTTGCCTGCTTTTAATCACGATTTTTGCTGAGGGTGAATAATAAAAGACAGGCTTTTAAAGACATCTATATGAAGAAAAATTTCTCAATGTCAGAAAATGCTTAGAAGTTGTCTCGATCTGACACTTATGACACTAATTTGAAGAAGCAATGTCATTATGTGCCTTGGGGCCACAAAATATACCAGCTCCAAAGATCTCAGCATATCAAAAATGCCAAGTGTAGGTATCTAGACCTGCGAATTCTCAGTGCTTCCCTTTAGTCTAAACACACTTTGTCATCTTGGCATATAGGTAACACAAGTGTGATGGCTGAAGGAACTAAACAAGTTCCTCCCATGGAAGAGGAGAAATGCCTCCATCTATGCAATCACTTTGAAGTATGGCATGGGATACATTATCATATCACAGGTGCAGCCATTTGGGAATCCAGCCTAGGTGAGGACATCATTCTGGTCACCACTGTGAGCCAACAAGAATGATGACTGATGCTGTCTAGGGGACCTAGGTGTAAACAGACCGGATTGCAGACCCTGAGGTGGCAAAACCACTGCAGACTTCCAATTTCAACAATTCGAGCATTACTAATATCCATAGAGCCGCATCTGCTTTAATATTACTGTGATTCTCCACAAAGGCCAGATTCAGTTCAAGAACAAGTGTTTATTCAGAAGAAAAAGGCTGGAAGAGGTTCTGACTATATTCTATTTCATTTTCACAGAACCTTTAAAACCAAGATTGCTATAGAAGTTCAAAAGCTGTGACATTTGCATCTCTAACCCTAAACAGGCCTAGGTAGCTGTGAATCTATGGCCTCTGTGTGTTAACAGATTCTTTAAGGCCAAGTACCCAGGGACAGAACTTAAAAGCACAAAGCTAAAGAAACTTTATGGAGAGAGACACCTGCTTTCTTGATACAACTACATATAGTCTTCAAGGTCATCTAGAAGAATGTCTTCCATGGATCAGGACAGATGGGGCTCACAGCCCCAATTCCTGTTGTGAGACTCACCTCTCTCAGAGACATTTCAGAAGGCACCGCTGCTCTTACCAACATGACCTCTCTCAAATGTTATAGCCAAAGTGTCAAATCCAGGCTTTGTACCTAACTTCCCCTTAGCATACCTGAGACAAAGCTAGACTGGTCAGTGAACTTTGCTAAATCCTGGGGCTAACAAAGGGAAACAAAAGATCATCTGATTTATGAGCATAGTGCTCCTGGCAGGCTGTCAGAGGACAAAGGCCATCTTTCCCCAACAGCCTACACCAGAACCTTCACTCCGTTTTCACAGCTGACTCAGCAGCTGCAAACCAGGGGTCAGCTGTCTCTATGCCCTCTGCTCCCACATACTCAGTGCAAATGGAAGCAATGCACTGTGGTGAACTGTGGTGGTTCTTTCACTGTAACCTTCAAAGGACAAATGATTTGCAGCATATTTCATTGTTGATAACTCACCCATAATTAAAACATCACTGGTCGAACTGCTCAAGAACAAAAAGTCCTAGGCCTCGCAGGCATTGAGGACCACCAAGCCCCCCTGCCCCTCTCTCCAAGGCCTATCTTCCTGTTCTGCTTGAATAGTTGATCAGGTAAACTTCTCCTCTTTAAGGCCTCAAAAAGAGTGGCCTGTATGAATACTACACAGCAGAAAGCTAACCTTCCTACCAGGAGATAAACACATAAAACAGGCTTCCCTCAGCAAAATGGACTTTTCCTCTACCTCAAAGGAGAGGAAAGGGAGGAAGTATTCTTATTTTCAAGGAAACATTAACATTTTTAAATTACATGTGGCTCTCAAAAGCAAGTTACAAAAAAAAAATTCTTAGTGTGGACTTATAGTGTCTCAGGGAGAGCAGCTGAGTTAGAGGAAAATATGACACCAGCAAGCTGGAGGTTGGCTCCTATTTAGGTTGGATTGTTTGATTAGATTGGATTGTTTGATTTTCATGAGTCTTCGATAGCCTTAGTTCCACAGATTTTGCTCCTTCACTGGAAGTTCTGCCATTAATAACCCCTAGACAAAAGAATTCTCTCCACTGGGCTTTCCAAACCACCTTCTAAAATATTACCTTAACCTACTTTCAAATATGACTTTAGGTCCACAGTCCTTTTCTTTAATAATTTGTTATTTGAATTCTGACACCTAAAATTCTTTAGAATATAAAGGTGCAGAAAAGTGTGTCATGTGTAAAACTGGAGTCAATTAACACATTAAAATTTGGAGTATTTAAGCCAATATTTCATGCAAAGAAAGGCTAGTAGTTAAATAATTACAATTGCTTGAGGAGGACCAGAGAGATAGCTTAGTGGGTAAGGGTACTTGCCACACAAGCCTGGCAACCTGAGTTTGATCCCAGGAGCCTACATAAAGGTATAAAAGGAGAACCAACCCCTGCAAGGTACACCATGTGACCTCCACATGCATGCTGTGGCTCTCTCTCTCTCTCTCTCTCTCTCTCTCTCTCTCTCTCTCTCTC